CCTTAGAGAGTGGGTTTTTCAACTTATTCTCCCATGTTTAAATAGGGTTGATCACCTTTTTTGGGACAGCTGCTTGAGTTTCTTGTGTATTGTGGTTATCAGTCCCTTGTATGATGTATAGTTTACAAAAATCTTTTCCCATTTGGAGGGCTGTCGATTCACACTAATTACTATGTCTTTTGTCATGCAGAAACTTCGTAATTTGATGTAATCCCATTTGTCTATTTTTGGGATTATTGACTGTGCTCTGGGGGATTTAAGAAGTCTTTGCCTACCCCAGTGTCTCCCAGAGTTTCCCATTTTTTCCAGCAGCAGTTTTATGGTTTGAGGTGTTAAGGTTAGATCTTTGATCCACTTGGAGTTGATTTTAATCAATGGTGAGAGGTAGGGGTTCAGATTCATCTTTCTACAGATGAGTATCCAGTTTTTCCAGCATCATTTGCTAAAGAGGTTTCCCTTTTCCCAGAGGAGTGACTGGTACCCTTTTTCAAAAACCAGTTGGCTGTATGTTTGGGAGTTTATTTCTGGGAACTCTCTTCTATTCCATTGGTCCACCTGTCTTTTTCTGTGCCAATACCCACAAATTAGGTTTTTAAGTTTAAGATAACTTAAGTAACATGCTCAAGACCTCATGGCTAATAAATAAATGGCAGAAATGGCATCAGAACTGATTTGCTTTTTTACAGTCTTATTGCAACACTTACATTCTATCTTAGCAAATAGTACCATGGAAACGGTCCTCCCAAACAGAAGCATGGCTTTCACCTGATGCTCATTCTTCTTCTAGATTTTTGAATGACCTGATATGTACCTCATTCAGATCTCTGTACAAATTTCATCTTTTTAGAGCAGTCTCCTGACCATCCTATCAAGTATACTGCCTCCCATCATTGTCTACCCCCAAGCTCTATTTTACCCTCATCACGTATTTAGCTAAATTTATATCACTTACTTGATTATTTGTTTATTATCTGTCTCTCCCACTAGAATACCAGCTCCTAGAGAGCAGAGAGTTTTGTATACCATTATATCACTACTTGGAAAAGTTAGATTTTGGTCTATAATTGGCATGAAATAAATATTATTAGAATGACATAAATATTGTTGAGAATTTTTAAAATGAAGCAGATTCCTCATTCTCCTTTATTCCTCTCATCCAGTAGGTCACTAATTCTTTAAATTATGCAAAATTCTGTGTTTCTATTCCTGCTTCCACTGATTAAGTTTAAACTCTCAGCATTTCTCTTCTGAAGTATTGTATCTTTTCTAGTTGGTCTTCTTTCCAACTTGTCTTTCTCCAGTCCATTCTCCACTTTGCTGCTAGGGGAAATAAATCTGTCAAAGACACTTAAAGATCATCACTCTCCTGTTTAAAGCATTCAATGGCTTTCTGATCACTCAGGTTAAAATACTAATTCTTTTAGAATGGTATGCAGAGCTTTTCGATTTTAGCTTGTCCAGCTTCATCTTCCCCAACTCTTACCCTCTTCAGTGCTCCAGTCATTTTGAACAATGCAATACATGCAAAGATTGAAGCATGAAAAGGGTCCGTATTTCTTGTCCTCCCACTTAAATTTTTAAGTGTTTCTAAACAAGAAACAAGTCTCTATACAAGACTCATGATTTAAATATATTTGTATTGGGATGAGCAGTTAGTGTAATGGCTATGTCGCTGGACTCCCATGTAGTCAATCACAGTTCGAGTCCCGGACCCGGTAGCTTAAACTCATGGCAGGCATGTGTGTGTGTGTGTCCAAGATCCCAAGAGGAGAATGGAGGAGAAGGGATTGCAGCGTGGCCATCCCCCCTGGGGGGTGATTTCTCGCTTTCTGTCTCTCTGTCTTTCTCTGTCTGTCTGGTGAGCACATGCGCCCTATAGCAAAAAAACTCTCCAAAAAAAGAAATATAAATAAATAAAAATAAATAAATATATTTGTATCATTCACAGTAACTAACACACAGTGATTTAATTAAATATGTTTGGATAAAGGATACATTTCTGGGTTAAAGACTAAACTACACAACCTATATAGGTTTCTAGTTGACAAATTAGCTGTTCAGTTACCTTGGTAAATATAGAAGGAATAGTTACGCTGGTAAAATCATGGCTGAGATTTGTGTACTTCGGAAATCAAAACCTTTTCTCTCGATGTCATAGTAAAATAAATGCTTATATATAGGACCACAAGGGCATATTATATCTGCATGTGTTTGCTCAATGTTTCTTTATGGTTATGAATGTATCATGAATTCCCAGCATAGCATAAAACAAATTAGATATAAAGTTGCATCTATTTCTGAATTAAATGTTCCAGAAATGCACTCCTTTAAGATGCCAGAGTATAATCACTAGCAGTTAATTATGTTACAAACCCTAAATGAAATTCAGTGATTAACTATGCCATATAAATGATATTTGTGGAATCCAATCTGGTGTCAAGAAATAAAAATTTTTAATGTGCTGTGAAAAGTTTTTAATTCATTTTCTCATATAAAATATTATACGCCATGATAAACATTCCCATCTTTATCTAAATTAATGAAAAACAAATCTTTCATGAAGTCTACAACTCTTAAGAAAATTTAAGGTAGTAAGTTATCTTAGAGATCTGATATTCTGTGTTCTTTCATTAAACTTCGAACTCTGCTTAAATTTAAAGTCTTGAATTTGGGTCTAGCTGCAGTGACTTGCTGCTAAGATGCTATTATGCTTCACAGGCTGGGACCACATGGGGCCCTGGGTTCAATTCCTAGTCTAAAGGCTGAATGCAGTAGTGTGAGCCTGTGATCCCAATTACTTAGGAGGCTGAGATAAGAAGATTGACAACTCCAAGCTGGCCTAGGTAACATAGAGTTAGGTTGGTGGCATGCAACTACAGTCCCAATTTAGAAGCCAAGCCAGGAGGATTGCAGCACAATGAGATCCCATTTAAAAAAAAAAAATTTTTTTAAAGAAAGAAAAGAGAAAAGAGAGGGAGCTAGAAGAAAGGAACAGAGAAAAAAGGAAGGAGAGAAAGAAGGAAGGAAGGAAGGGAGAAAGCAAGGAAGGAAGGAGAGAGAACCTTGGAATTTAAAGAGATTGTAGCTCTGCATGTACAGAGGCTCTTTTTTTTTTTTTTAATGTGAATTTTATTAAAGACCTCAAGAGTACCTGGAAGGCAACATTTGTGTTTTGTTAGGGAGACAAACTACTCACATTTTCCCCCAGCACTACTACTTTTCGTTGTACCTTAAACATACAGGGAAATAAAAGAGTCAAGTCCTCTAGCTAAGAGTCCATCTCATTCAATTTACCTATTTGCTAGCAGAAAAGCTGCAATTCAGAAAAAATTAATTAGGACTTAGAAAATAAGATTTACAAAGGAATTAAATCACCAGGGAAAGGGTTTGCAGTGATATGTTTTAATAAATAATATTTTAGATAGGTTTATGCTCCTTCTTAAAGTTTGAACAGTATGACTTGCTTTTCATTGCAACATATAAAATCTTGTTTGTGGCTCAGCATGTTTTTCAACTGACTATTTTTTAGAAGAGTTTCAGGTTCACAAAGAATTGAGTGGAAGTACAAAGATTTCTCCAATACTCCCCACCCTTACACATGGGGAAGCATCTCCTACTATCAAAATCCCATACTCAGTGTCACATTTGTTATAATTGATAAAAATGCCTTGACACATTATCACCCAACTCCACAGGGTTCATACTTAGTGTTGTTCTTTCTCCCTTCCTTCTTTCTTTTCTCTTCTTTTTTTTCTTTCTTTTTTCCTTCCTCTCTTTCTTCTTTAACATTTGTTCACTTGCCAGAAAGAAACACAGAGAGAGAGAGAGAGAGAGAAAGAGGGCACCCTCTCCGTGGGTTATGATCACAATGCAGTCCCTTCTCCTCCATTTCTCTATCTTTTCAGGATTCCAGGTGCATACAAACACATACCTAGCATGTTTTCAAGCCAGTTGCTCTGTTTGGGGCTTAAACCACTCAGTCAGCCATGTGGGAAAAATCACAGAATTTTTATGTATGCAAAGTATTGTACTTACAAATTATCCTCGAGTCTCTTCAAAGATTCCAAAACTAACGAATGAACACTATCCAAGGAACAGGATCCAAAGCAATTTAGGAATGGAATGTATCTAATTTTCATAACCCAGTCATTATGTAGCTTCCTTTTAACACTGAGAATTTTTTTAAAAAAGGTGGGGGAGGAGAGGAGATTTCAGTTAGACACATAAGTTCATGATGTTGAGTTTCTAGTCAGCATTTTGTTTTCATTTTAACTGAATTGCAGCTCTGAACTGTGCTAAAATTTGCATGAATAGTACTGTCTATATGTCACAACTTTTAACTGTTTAAATTTTTATATCAAGCATATTTAAAATAGAAAAATAGCTTTAAAGACTGCAATCAAATTTCAAACTCTAAATTCAGAATTAAAAGAATAACCTAGGGGCTGGTAAGTGGCATGGTGGTTAAGGGTATTGGACTCTCACATGGCCAACCATGGTTTGAGTTCCATACTGGGTGACTTGCTTTTTCACTTTCCCTCTCTCTCCCTCTGTTTCTCTCTGCTCAAATTTAAATAAATAAATAAATAAATAAAACAAAGTTCAATCAAATAACTCTTTAAAAAAGGAGAAAAATCTAGAAGAATTCTAGTCTCATACTGGCTCTATTATCCTTACTTGACTGAAAAAATTCAGATCATCCAAATGAAACACCATGTCTTATATTGTTTTACACCTTATATGGGTCTATTTATTTGAAAAATATGTTTACATTCTCCATTAATACTTTCAAAACTGAAAAATGAGAAAGTATATTTATGTATTTGAATTATTTATATAAATGACTAATCATTTAAAATAAGCAGTCCCCTGTTGTTGGACACTGAACAATTTGCCATCACAAATGATGTTGTGATAACCATACTTTTGTTTTTGAACACAGGAGGATCCCAGGTTAGAATGTATACATGTTTATAAAGATGCCTGATGTATCTTTCCAAACTGCTTTTCAAAAAGGTTGATCCAATTCAGGCTTCCACCACCAACCATGTGAGAATACCCATCTCACAGCATCTTCCCCACTTCTAATCTTTTCTGATTTTATAAGTGAAAAATCATATCTGATTTTAAGTTGTACTTCTTTGATTTAATAAGGAAGATCCATTTAATATAAACATTGTGTTTTTCTATTAGTAAAAGTAATATATACCTTCCTCTCAAAACTTCAGAGACATTGCAATTATAAGGAAGATAATAATAATCACCAATAGCTCATCAATTACAGATAGCTGCTGGCATTCTTGTCCTGTGATTACTTTGAACTGTGTGATCATTTGTCCTGGTTGTGCATGTGTGCAATATCTCTTCATGGTCTTTGTTCTTTATTCTACTGGGGAATTATTATTTGTTTAAGTATTATTTTATTTAACTTTATTTATTTATTTATTTATTTATTTTAATTTGATGTGTGAGAGAGAGAGAAAGTGAGAAAGCATGCTGCTGGGTCTGGGACTTGAACCACAGTCAGCCTTGTGGGAGCCCATTGCCCTTGACCACCATGCCACCTGCCAGCTCTGGGAATTGTTGTTTGTAATTGAATTCTAAAACACATTAAAGGTTATCAATTCATTGTCTTATGTATCACAAATATACATTTCAGTTTATTTACTTTTTAGATGTTATGTTTTGATAGCCAGGAGATTTTTTTTTTTTTTTTGAGAGGTTTTTGCTATAGGGCACATGCGCTCGCCAGACAGACAGAGACAGAGAGACAGAAAGCAGGAAATCACCCCCCAGGGGGGTGGCCACACCGCAATCCCTTCTCCTCCATTCTCCTCTTGGGATCTTGGGCATGCACGCACACGCGCCCGGCGTGAGTTTAAGTCACCAGGTCCGGGACTCGAACCGCGGTCGACTACGTGGGAGTCCAGCGACATAGCCATTACGCTAACTGCTGGTCCCTATTTTATTTTATATGTATAGTCAAATCTACCACACTTTTTCTTTGACTTCTAATCCCATTACTTTTATGTTTAGAGCCTTTTTGCATATTCAAGTGCTCTTAGTCACATACACATTTAACAGTTTTTTAAAATGATTTAATTTTTTCATTGAACTTTTCAAACCATTCAAATACCTATAGGTTTTATTTGTCAATAGCACTTAAAATAGGGATTTCAATAGCTCATTTGGTCTTCTGTCTCCTCTATGTTACTGGAAGTTTGAGACAAGAAGCATTTCTTGTTCAGCTTTGTATCTCAAATTTCTACTGTGGGGTTTGTTACCTTATTTTTGCAGTATAAATGTTTGAACAATGACCCTTACCTTCTAAAGTTCTTTGAGTCTAAAACCTGATTTTGTGATTTCTTTTTGGTTTTTGCCTGCTTTAATCCAAAGTCTTCACTGGTCACTGTGAATCTGTTTATAAAACCACCATCATCCCCCAGGAGGATGTCATCTCTGCAGAGCTGGTCAGGCAGGGACACCACACACACACACAGGAGGCAGTGGTCCATGGGCTTTATGATGAAGTAGTTTTCCTAAAAATGGATGAATGCTTTCAGGGACTTATTACTTTGTTCTATTTAATAAATATTGCCCCTATTATTTGACAAAAGATACACTTCCTCATGTTTCTCATTTTAGATACTTCTACAGGGATAAAGACATTTCAAAGAAAAAGTTAACCCAGTAAAAATTAATGAACATTCATCGTGCACCCAACATTGTGCTTGCTGGTACTTTGTGGAAGGAAAGGTGGGGTACCTAACTCTGGCCAAAAAGTAATGAGGTTCTTCTGCTCTGTTACTGTGAATGGCCTTTTCTTGGATTTGCAAGGAAATATTAACAGGCAGCATAGAAAGGTTCAGCTGTTCCCAGATAATTGACACGAAACTAGGTGGTAAACAGGAAAAGCAAATATCAAAGTACCATTTTTTTTTTTTAAGAAGGAAATTTTTGCTATAAGGTGCGTGTGTTCTCCAGAAAGACAGAGAGAGACAGAAAGTGAGAAATCAGCCCCCACGGGGATTGCCACAGTGCAATCCTTTCTCCTCCATTCTCCCTTTGGAATTTTGGGCATGCACAAGTGACTGGTATGAGTTTTAACCTGCTGGGTCCAGGGTCTTGAATTGTGGTCAACTACGTGGGAGTCTAGCAATGTAACCATTATGCCATCTGCTGATCCCAGTACCAATACCAACTATTTTTACAAGGATTTATTAGAAAAAAAATTTTTAAGTTTCTTTTTTTATGAGTGAGAGTGACAGAGGAAGAAAGAGAGGTACTCTCAACATGCTAAGATCCATCCCCAGTTGCAGCCAGGCCTAAGCCATGGGCAACCATGTGCCCAGAATGTTCAGGAAGGTCTCCAGATACAAATCTGGAGACCTTCCTATGTTAGTGGGCCTCTCAGAGTTACAACTTTGCTGCTCTCTGGACCTAAGAAAAAATAATCTAATATCCAAATTTATTCAGAAATATACAGCAAATATTTTTCAAACCAACTTTGTGCTATTGAATAAGTTCACCAAGCTATACTCTTCCAGATCTGTCCCTACCTAACATAAAAGAAAAAAGAAATCCATTTGGGGGTTTATTTTTTTGTGTAGAATGACAGAAAACTGAACATATTTAGTGGTTCATTCAGTCATTCAACAAATGTTTATTGAGTACCTATTCTGTATCAAGAGCTATTCTAGGAACGAACTGTACATTGATAAATGAGACACGATTACCAACTTTGTAGGTCTACTATTCTAGTGGGAGAAGATGACTAAAACAGATAGTTTCAAGTGACAGAAAGTACACCTAAGGAAACAGAGTGCCGCAATATAGAGTGACTTTAGGTCCCAAGGTCAGAGAAAGTGACTTTTAATCTGGGACCTGACTTGAGAGGAAAACCAAGAGAAGGTTGATAGGAAGGAGGCTAGAAAGAGAGATTAATGTCAAAAAGACAGAAAGATAAGAAGCTATGAAGCCTTTCCTGGCCAAGACAGGAGAAGATGGAGGTGTCAGATGCAAGGACATTTTGTCTTCAGAGAGAGGAGAGAAGTAGAGCTATATTTCTAGTTACAGCTCTGGGTGGGAGGGATGGAATTTGAAAGAGGAGCATCCTGAGCACCTCATTTTTCTCAGGAAAGTAGGGACGGATTCATCTGTTGAGAGTGGGAGGGCCTAAAAAGAATAATGAAATTTTAGAATATGAGGGATCTTCAAACATACATGCATTGTTAAAACAAAACAAAAACTTTATATGGATTTCAGAAATTATTTTTGCACCAAGATAAATGTGTACTTTAATTTTATTTTTATGAAGTTTCTGAAGTCTCTTGTTTTTGTGCAGAATGGGGGAGTGAAATCACAAAGATGAGAATGCTGGATGGAGATACTGAGAGCTCAGCTGAGTCTGCAGATCTTGAGTTTCCAATGATAGCAAGAACATCATTGTGTTTTCTCCAGTAGCGCTTGGCCAACCTAGAGCAGCTGAGGAGGGCTACAGCCTCTATCCACATTGAAAGACAGAAATTGAAGAGTGCAGGGTGTGGATGACAAGCTCAGAGGATCCTCCCAAGGGACCCAGGAAGGAAGGGAAGAGGAGAAGAATTAGAGAGGTAGTAGACTGGAAGGAGATGCTTGGAAGAACAAGAAGTTTCCATGGGATTGGAAAGCAAGAATGAAAACAGGAGAAAACTAGAAGGAAAAGAGGTTACTATCAAATCCTAGGACATTGGAATTAGAATTTTGGAAATGAGTAAAACATTGTCTATAACCATATGAAACAGTAACATAGCCCATAAGAGTACACTAAGCAACAGCTATCTTCTTTAAAATCATCCTGGTATCACTAGTTGGTTACAACATTATGAACAAATAGCACAAGAAGTTTATAGTTTTTTACTGAGTTTAGGAACAAGTAAAGCATGGAGGAAGCTTAAATGACTTCCTGATCCTCCATGTCCTTCAAATGCAGTCAGCTTCCTGAAGACATTTTTATAACCCTTAAACTCAGTAATCTCACCTTTCCCTGGGTTGCTTTTGCACTTACTTCTTTCTACTGTGTAATTTGCTCTACCATTATATTAGATTCAAGAGGTTTTCAAGACTGAGTTTTGTTTCGTATGAAGGAACATGTTCGTTACCTCTCGATGTCCTTAAATGCTCCATTGCAACTGTGGATTGGTAAAACGGTAACATCCCAGTCACTGAAGGGATTAACACTGACATTTGCCTCATTAGATTTTTTTTTATAGAATTAGAAATTTGATTTTAGCAATTATCTTACCTAAATTGAAACTGGACTAGAGAGAAAGGATTTGAGCGTGGTAACATGAGCATGACCAGAAAGATAATTTTAGATTCAGAGAAGGATATAGAAGAAGGAAGAAATTAGCTTCTTTCTCTCTCTTAAAAACAAAACAAATCAAAAAATACTCCCAAGTTATTCATACTCTAAAAAAAATCCTTTTTAAGTAAAAATACTAGTGTTGAACTTGATCCAAGAGAGTTAGTTAAACCCTCTCATTTTATTTATAAGGAAACTAACATTCAATGGAGAAAGTAGGTCATGTATATCCCACTAGTATTGAAAAGACAACCTCATTCCTTTGAGCATACCTGGCTGCTCCCTTGGGCTTTGTAATCCCAGACAATAATGGTCCTTTCTGTAGTGGCTACAATTCGTTTCAGCTGTGAGAGGTAATCACATCCTGTGATCCAGGAGGTATCCTGTAAGAAGCCATAGAATTGAAGAGTATAATGAGTTTCCTTCTATGACAAGGTGGTGATGTACTGAAGATTAGGTTACCTGCACTAAAAGCCTCATTTTGCTGCCTTATGTTCAGAGGAGTTTCACAATGCATCCTGTTTGGATGTCATGAGGAGAGGCTCCTATTTTATCCCTTTCATGCCTACACTGAGTTTCTCAGTACCATCAGCTAGAGATTCAGCCAGTGCTGGAGCCACTCGTTGGAAGTGTGTGGCAGCTGGGAAAGCAGCCATCTTTGTGCACAATTTGTGTGTGTGAGATCACTTATTCACACAAGCACAAGGAGACTAGATTTAAGGTGCTGACTGAGCAAGTTCTGTGGCCTCATTACCATGCTAAAATTGTTAGAGAGAAAAGACTTAGTGGCCATCTGGCCAGTGATAAGTTAAGGCCAATGAGTTTGTCTTGTGTTTTTCCCAGTCAGCCAGCTGGCATAGCTGGCCCTGTATTGTCAACAACTGCTGAGATGAACAATAGCTCCCACTTAATGCTGTCAGAAACTGTTCCATGCATTTCAGGTATCACTTCGAATCTTCTGAAAAGCCCTTTAGTAATTCTAGAGGGTTCTTTCAGTTTGAAAAATGGAGGCTCAGAGGTTCCCAATTCCTCTGCAAAGCAACATGGCCTCCTGCTTTCAAACAAGGAGAAAACATCATGCATTTGCCTGTTTCTCAAAAGGCCACACTGGGCTTCTGCAAGCATTTGCATGTTTATAATGTCTGCCATAAGGTTACTATTCCAATTAGTGGTGTGGTATGGATTAAATGAATTACAATATCACAATTGATTTTTAAATCCTGTTTTTAAGTTTAACATAGAATGTTTTTAGATTTGTTTCCATTGGCTACCTCCAGGTTGTTTCCACAACTTGAGCTGTGTCCATTTTTTATATTTGTTGATAATGGGTGCACAGAAAAACTTAGGTGGAGCTTTTAAATTTAAGCTTCCAAGGAATGACCAATTTCCAAGCATTTCTTTGCAGTTGATTTACCTCCAGAAAGCAAAACTTTGTTCCCCTTTGCTGTTACCCAAGGCTTTGTTTTGTTTGTTAGTTTGTTTTTCAAGCTTTGTTTTGATCCTTGTCAATAAACATGAATTTACAATCAGTGAAATTATCTATACATGGAGCCTATTTAGGGACTTCATTGAGATTGTGATTAGAGACTTGAGCATGGTCTGGACAGGCCTCTTGGGTGAGCCCATGCTTGGGGCCTGGGAGCAACTTTGGAACTTTTGGTTCACCAGCCTGCACACTGCTCAAAACGCAGTATGTGACTTGATCCTCTTCACTGAGTTACCATTTCATCAAGAGCTGAACGTTTGGTAGAGGAGCCAAACACCTGAAGTTATCCATAGCTGCTCTGACCTGGGAAACAGAGCCCTCCGATAGGAACATACCTAGCAACTAAAGGTGAAATTTCCTCTACCAGTACTACAGAATCTACTCCAATAAATAAAAAAAGTAATTACTGGATCAGATAACTAGGAACCAGCACAGAGCTTGAAGAAACATGAGAAAACAAGGTGGTAACTCTTCCCCCAGGTGACCATAGTAGCCCCTCCCTCTGTGTGCATAATAGCACAGAGAAATACACAGAATTGTCAGAAAAAGAATTCTGAATATTCATGACAAAACTCAATGAGATGCAAGAGAAAACAATCAGTTCCAGGATATGGGAAAATCATTTCAGGACATGATAGAGGAATTTTATAAAGAAATAGACACCCTAAATGAGAATCAAACAGAACTTCTGGAAATGAAGAATATGATAAAAAAATCTCCCTAGAAAACATTAACAGCAGAGGAAAGAATTTCTGACCTTGCAGACATAGTCTCTCAGCATAGAAAAAATTACTGAAAAGAAAGAAAAAACAACCAAAAAAACAAAAATGAGGACTACATACGGGAAATTTTAGACACCATAAAATGCCCAAATAGCTGTATAATGGGTATTCCAGAAGGTGAAAAATCTGCTAAAGACATGGAAACCTCTTTCATGAAATACTATCTGAAAATTTTTCAAATATAGAGAAACATGGAGAAATTCTGACCCAAGAAATAAAAAGGACTTCCAGTAGAATCAACACAAAAAGATCCTTCCCCCAGCACATATCATAGTCAAACTGGTAAAAATTAAAGATAAAAACAATATTCTAAAAATGGCATGGGAGAAATGTCGAGTTACTTATAGAACAATGCAGGCAAGGAAGGAATGGGAAAATATATTCAAAATACTAAAAGAAAAACAATTTCAACCAAGAATACTATATCCAGCAAGATTATCCTTCAAATGGGAAAAACAAATTAAAATATTATAAAATAAAAATTGAAAGAATTCACCAATACTAGACTAGCTCTACAGGTAGTACTGAGAGGAGTGTTGTATCAGGATAATTAAAGAGAGACAAACAGAAACAGGAGAATGAAAATCAACTGAGGTAACAAATGGGTAACAATATGACAGAGATAAATCTGCAAATATCAATAATAACACTGAATGTTAATTGATTAAATTCTCCCATTAAAAGATACAGACTGACTGGGAACCAGCAGTTAGCGTAATGGCTATGTTGCTGGACTCCCACATAGTCGACCGCGGTTCGTGTCCCGGACCCGGTGGCTTAAAACTCACGCCGGGCGCATGTGCGTGTGTGCTCAAGATCCCAAGAGGAGAATGGAGGAGAAGGGATTGCGGCATGACCATCCCCCCTGGGGGATGATTTTTCGCTTTCTGTCTCTATGTCTCTCTCTGTCTGTCTGGTGAGCACACGCGCCCTACAGCGAAAACTCCAAAAAAAAAAAAAAAAAAAACACAGACTGCATACAAAAATGGAAGCCGTCTATATGCTGCTTACAAGAAACATACCTCTCTGATAAAGACACAGACTGAAAGTGAAGGGCTGGAAAAAGATATTCCATGCAAATGGAAACCAAAAAAAAGGGCTGGAGTAGTGATACTAGTATCAGACAAAATAGACTTTTTTTGGGAGACGTTTTTGCTATAGGGCACGTGCGCTCGCCAGACAGACAGAGAGATAGAAAGCGAGAAATCACCCTCCAGGGGGGATGGCCACGCCGCAATCCCTTCTCTTCCATTCTCCTCTCAGGATCTTGGGCACGCACACACACGCTCCCGGCGTGAGTTTTAAGCCACCGGGTCCGGGACGTGAACCGCGGTTGACTACATGGGAGTCCAGCGACATAGCCATTACGCTAACTGCTGGTCCCAGACAAAATAGAATTTAAGAAAAAAAAGATGTAAGAAGACAAAAAGATATTATATAGTACTAAAAGGAATTGTTCTCCAAGAAGATATTACACTTGTAAATATCTATGCACCCAATACTGGAGCACCTAAATACATCAAAGAGTGACTATTAGATCTCAAGGGAGAGATAGACTACAACACAGTATTTGTAGGGAATCTCAACACCTACTGACTCCTCTGGAAAGATCATCAAGACAAATAGTAAAGAGATAGAAGATCTAAGTGATACTATACATGAAATGGACTTGACAGACATCTACAGAGTATTTCACCCAACTACCACAAAATATATGTTTTTCTCACCCCTACATGGAACATTTTCAAAGATTAACGACATGATAGGGCACAAGACAAGCCTTTACAAATTCAAAGGTATAGAAGCTATGTCTAGCATCTTGTCCAACCACAATAGACTCAAACTTAAAATCAACTACAGAAAGAACTCTCCAAAATTCACAAACACGTGGAAAATAAATGACCTACTCATAAATGACTTTATAACCATAGAAGAAATTAAGACTGAAATAAAAAGGTTCATAGAAAATAATGATAATAAAGCAAATGTCTATAACCTATGGACACAGCAAAAGCAGCTATAAGAGGGAAGTTCAGAGCAATTAGTACCCACAAGAAAAGAGCAGAAAGATGGCCAATTAACAGCCTAATGACATAACTCAGGGAATTGGAAAAACAAACAAAAAACACCCAAAAAAAATCCAGTAGAAAAAAAATAAAAGACTCGAGCAGAAATAAATGAAATAGAGAATAAAAGAACTATACAGAAAATAAAACCAAATGCTGGTTCTTTAAAATAAACAATATTGACACACCATTAGCTAGATTAATTAAACAAAGAGAAAGGAACCAGATAATTTAAATCAGCAAGAAAACAGGCATTATTACAACAAATTTAACAGAAATATAAAATATCATCAGAGAATACTACAAGCAACTATATGCCAACAAACAAAAAAACCTAGATGAGTTGGACAAATTTCTGGACATGAATTACTTAACAAGATTGAACCAGGAAGAAATAGAAAGTCTGAATGGACCCATAACAGGCAATGAGATTGAGTCAGTAAGTCTCCCAATAAGGAAGAAAGGTCCCAATGGCTTTATTTCTGATTCTACAAAACTTTTAAAGAAGAAATAACCCCAATTTTTCTTAAATTATTTCTAAAAATTCAAAAGAAAGGAAACCCCCGGAATTCATTCTATGACGCCTTCATTATCTTAATTCCACAACCAGACAAGAACATGACAAAAAAAGAAAACTACAGGCCCATATCCCTGATGAACATGGATGCAGAAATACTCAACAAGATATGAGCAAATTATATTCAACAATATACTAAAAAGATTATACACCATGACCAAGTAGGCTTTATTCCAGAGATGCAAGAATGGTTTGACATACACAGAACAATAAATGTAATACATCACATTAAAAAACAGTAAAGATAAAAACCAGGGAACCAGCAGTTAGTGTAATGGCTATGTCACTGGATTCCCACGTAGTCGACCGCAGTTCACGTCCCGGACCCGGTGGCTTAAAACTCATGCCGTGCACGTGTGCGTGCATGCCCAAGATCCCAAGAGGAGAATAGAGGAGAAGGGATTGTGGCGTGACCATCCCCCCTGGGGGGTGATTTCTCGCTTTCTGTCTCTATGTCTCTCTCTGTCTGGCGAGCGCACGCGCCCTATAGTGAAAAAACCTCTCCAAAAAAAAAAAGTGTTAAAAACCATACGATCATATCAATCAATGCAGAAAAAACATTCATTAAATACAGCATCCCTTCATAGTTAAGATTCTCAGCAAAATCGGCATAGAAGGCACATTCCTCAGCATAACAGCTAACATCATACTGAATGGGAAAAAGCAGAAAGCCTTTCCATTCAAAACTGGAACAAGACAAGGCTGCCCACTTCCTTTACTCCTTTAATATAGTACTGGATGGTCTACCCAATGCAAGTAGACAAGAGAGTCAAATAAAAGGCATCCAAATAGAAAAAGAAGTGAAATTATCTTTATTAGCAGATGATATGATGCTATATATAGAAAATACAAAAGAATCCACAAAAAAAAAAACAAAACCCTCCTGGAAGTGATGAATATAGTAAAGTGGCAGAATATAAAATCAACATAAAAATATAGCTTTTTTTTTTTTTTGGAGAGGTTTTTTCGCTATAGGGCGCGTGTGCTCGCCAGCCAGCCAGAGAGAGACATAGAGACAGAAAGCAAGAAATCACCCCCCCAGGGGGGATGGTCACGCCGCAATCCCTTCTCCTCCCTTCTCCTCTCAGGATCTTGGGCGCGCACGCACACGCGCCCGGCGTGAGTTTTAAGCCACCGGTTCCGGGATGTGAACCACGGTCGACTACGTGGGAGTCCAGCAACATAGCCATTACCCTAACTGCTGGTTCCCAAAATATAGCATTTTTATACACCAACAATGGACAAAATGAGACAGAATCAAAGAAATAAATGCCATTTACAATAGCCACAAAACCATAAGATATCTAGGAATAAACCTTACCAAAGATGTCAAAGATCTCTACAAGGGGGACCAGCAGTTGGTGTAATGGTTATGTCACTGGACTCCTATGTAGTCGATCGCGGTTCGAGTCCCAGACCCAGTGGCTTAAACTCATGCCAGGCATGTGTCATGCATGCCCAAGATCCCAAGAGGAGAATGGAGGAGCAGGGATTGTGGCGTGGCCATCCCCCGGGGGAAATGATTTCCCACTTTCTGTCTCTTTGGCTCTCTCTTTCTGGCGAGCCCACGCACCCTATAGGAAAAAAAAAAAAAAATTCTACAAGGAAAACTATGAAACACTACAGAACAAAAATGATACAAAAAAGTGGAAAAAATCCCATGTTCCTGGGTTGAAAGAATTAATCAAGATGTCAATCCTACCCAAATTAATCTACAAATTTAATGTAATCCCAGACTACCACAGATATTTCTCTCAAAAATAGAAAAGACAATCATAAAATTTGTCTGGAAGCATAAAAGGTCCCATATCGCCAAAGCAATACTGAGTATTCAAGCAGCTTACACACACACACACACACACACACACACAAAATCAATCCAATTAAAAGATGGGAAAATGAGCTGAACAGACAATTCTCCGTAGAAGACATAAAATGGTCTAAAAGCATATCAAAACATGCTTGACATCTCTTATCATAAGGGAAATGCACATGAAAACCACAATGAGATACCACGTAATCCCTCAGAATGGCTAAAATTAAGAAAAATAAATAACGATAAGTGCTGATGAGGCTATGGAGAAATGGGAACTTTCCCACAATGTTGGTGGGAATGTAAATTAGTATAACCACTTTGGAGAATGATAAGGAAATTCCTCAGACACAAACAAATAGAACTACCATTAAGACCTAGTAATTCCACTCTGAGGTATTTACCCAAAGGATAGAAAAACCCTCAGAAAAACACTGGGACATCCATGTTTATTGTAGCCTTATTTACAATTGCTAGGACATGGAATCAACCCAGATGTCCAAACACAGATGACTGAATTGAAAAAACATGTGGCCTATATACTCTATGGAATACTACTCAGCTGTAAAAAAACAATGACACTCTGACATTTGATACAAAGTGGACGAATATAGAAGATTTAATGCTAAGCTAAGCAAGCCAGACTGTGAAAGACAGGCTTTGTATGTCCCCACGTGACATATACCATCGTCTGTGCTCTATAGCAGAAACTGAAAGTTTGGAAGGCTCTAAAGAAAAGTTCTTTGAGGAGAAGATCACTTGTGCCTTGGAAGTATCCAAAATGGCTTTAGAGGGTCCCCTAAATGTAAGGTGCCCACCAGTGATTGAGTTCAGCCTCACACAGTCTTGGAAATGAAGGTTGCCAGTGTTTTGGCCCTGCTTGAGTACCTGATCACGGTCACTGAGGCCGAAGTCTACACTTGCTGTAAACTGGCAAAAGTATTTTTGAGGGCCGGCCTGGACAATTATGGAGACTTTGCCTTGGAAACTGGATCTTCATGGCATACAACACCACGACTCAGATGACCCTGGAGGATGGAAGCACTGACTACAGCATATTTCAGATAAACAGCTTCATATGTTGCAGACTTGGAAAGCTACAGGAAAAGAATCACTGTCATATGGCCTGTTCAGTCTTGACCACTAATGACCTTACAGATGCCATTATCTGTGCCAAGAAAATTGTTAAGGAGATAGAGGAGATGAACTACTGGCAAGGCTGGAAGAAAAACTGCGAAGGCAAAGACCTGCCCAAGTGGAAAAAAGGATGTTAAGTTTCAGAGATACTTTGCGATGACTCTCTAGGATTTGAGCGTCAAAATGTTTGTGCCATCTTATCCCTTTTCCTCCCAATATTCCTTCTCCACATTGGAGAGGGAAAACTAAAATATACTTTTAAGTAAACTAATATTTCCATTTGAAAGTTTTTTTTTTTTTTAAAAAAGAGGTTGTGATTAATTATGGAGGTCCTGTCATCATAACCATAACTTTGGCTTAATTAGGAATTTTCTAAATACTTACTGTGACATTGGTGCTGGTCTGAACTCTCATCTATGAATAAAGGAAGAAAATAATGAAACCCAGTTAGCACTACAATAAAGATGAGAATACCGACTCTAAAGCAGCACGTTAAAGCAGCATGTTATTTCCTTGGTTTAATCTCACTTGTCATTCTACTCACCATGAATCTCCTTCCTGTTTCCCCTCCCCTGAAACATCTTGCTTTGGGGAACAATGCACACTGTTTACTTTGAGCAAGGCATGTACCTCCATCACTTGTCTCTAATCCTTTTTGAAAGTGCTCTTGAGAGTCTTACATTTTACTAATTATTTTGTCCCTTCTGTCTACAAACCACCTCACATTCTTTAGTTATTCAGAGCAGTATTCGATATCAAAAGTCTGAAATGCAAAATAATAGTACCAGCAATGGCAAGAGTGATTAAAAAAAAAAAAAACTAAATGCAATGCAATGTGAATGTAGAACTATGCAAGGGGAAAAAAAGCATGGTTTTATTTCAAAGTTTTCTCTTTAAATTGTTCAGAGACTTGAAGACTATTCTATCCAGAGAGCCTCCTCTTTATTCAGTAAGTATCCATTGAGTGACTATCATGTCCTAGGAACTATTGTGTCAGTTGAGAATCTTAGATTTGTCAGATGTAGACATAGAAGTAGCCTCTCAGCCTGTTGGGCATGATAATTACTCCCAAGGGAAAAGCAAGTAGTTGAAGGGAAAAAAAAAAAAGGTTTATTTTACATGCTCAGGAGGTCGTGGGAAATGTCTAGGCAATGGCTACCCAGAAGAAATCGATTAGATGGATCACTACTACTGTTAGTCATGGCTACCCACAGACCATCTTTCATCTGAAGAGTTCAAAGGGGCTTTTCCAACAAGGGACTTATTTCTAAATGGGAAAACTACAGTGCTATAAGGGAACTGGCACACAGCAGAACAGAAAACCTGTGGTTTCTTCCTTTTCCC